TTCATTTCTTTGCTGCCCAATTGCCATTTATTGAATGGAAATCGAGGGTTTTCAATAGATGGGTCTGTTAGGCCTTTGGGATTATTACTCAACGATCGGAGGAGAAGACGAAATGGGGGCGGCGGCGGCGACGGAATCGGTTACAGGAGTATTGTGGCGTCCGGCATTGCTGGTGCACCGATTTCAGATGGGTCGAAACCAGACAAAGGCTTTGTTTCTCCTCCCCTCAGTGACATCCTTTGGCCTTCTGCAGGTTAGAGAAGGTCCCTTATGAATCATAATGTATGAGAATTTCGACCGAAATTTGATGAAGAACTGCGAGATGGGTAACGTTGTTTTGTCATGAATGAAACAGGGGCATTTGCAGCGATGGCAATGCTGGGGAAAATGGATCAGATGCTAGCGCCAAAAGGGCTTTCTATGACAATTGCGCCATTGGGAGCCGTCTGTGCTATCCTGTTCGCAGCGCCCTCATCCCCTGCTGCTCGAGTACTCGCTACATCTCTGACAGCTCAATTGCTTTGAACCAAGAACTAAATTTAGGTTTCTTTTGGTGCAGAAGTACAATATGTTCATGGCCCAGATTGGGTGTGCGGCAATTGGGGTTTTGGCGTTTACTTTGTTGGGGCCTGGATGGCTGGCTAGAAGCTCTGCTCTGGCTGCATCCATGGCGTTCATGATCTATACTGGTTCGACGCACCCACCAGGTTAAATTGAAGCCCCACTCAATTTGTTGTGTGTGTGTTTGGGAATATGGATTGACTTTGATTTTTGATTGTAATGTTAACAGCTGCAAGTTTGCCGCTAATGTTCATCGATGGAGCTAAGATGCAGCATCTCAATTTCTGGTATGCTCTGTTTCCCGGTGCCGCTGGATGTGTTCTCCTTTGCTTCATAGTGAGTTCTCTCTGTTTTACTATTAATATATTTCTTTTTTTTTTCTTCCTATTTTAAAATCTGATCATAATTCGTAGGTGAGATACTAATCTTAGATCTATAACTAAGCAAAAGTTCTACGTCAGCTGATTTAAGAAATGATCATGTGTTTATAAACAAAAAAATACATCTCAATTGGAATTTGGTCTTTTAGGGAAGCACAAAGCAAAGCCATGAACACTTATGCTCGAACTGGACAATATCATATCATTGTGGAGAGTCGTGTTCATCTAAATTAACTAGATGAGGTATACAGAAGTTTGGTTAAAAAATTTTAGACTCATTGTTGTTGGTGAGTTAGTGACCCAAATAACTTGAATAATGTTCCCAATTCAACACTCTTTTGTCGGGATTGAAAAAAAATCTTCCAATTATTTAAAAATTTTCAAACTCACTACTAGCGGATGTCATCATGGGACTTTTTCAGAATTCTTCTCAAGATTTTTAAAATGTGTCTAGCACGGAGAGGTTTTCACACCCTAATAAACAATGTTTCGTTCTCCTCCTCAATTGATATAGAATCTCACAATAAGTCACAATGTATCATTGACAATTGTTATTCATGTGAAATATTTTAATTTTCATATCAATTTTAAAGTTAGGGTCAAGTTGGGTTGAGATGTAAACTTTATTTTTTGATGAACTAAATTGAAAATTTCAATCTAGTTTAAACTAAAAAAAAACTCTAACCCAACATAACCCTAATCATTTAAGTTAGGTTGTTTAGATTTTTCGGATCATACGAACACGATTGCTATTTATAATTATATGAATTAGACACAAACCCGGGAGTGTTTTTCATATTATTATTATATGATGCAGCAAGAGATAGTGGTGTACTTGAAGGAGAAGTTCAAATTTTGAGCAGGTTTTTGAGTGTCACACATGGAACAGCCATTGTTGAAGGTGTCCCAAAGCTCATTTTTGTGAGTTTTCTTTCAATGGATGATAGCCTTGTGATCTGATGGAAAAATAATTCTATAAATCTTATTACATTATTAATTTGTAAATTTAATCTTTACTACTCCAAACATCGAGTTATGAAACGATATGTATTTTTTCTTTTTTCGTTCTTCAGGAATCAAATGGTTATCAAAATCGTAAACTATACTAGAGTAAATTTGTAACGGAAGGAATGATAGTTTCAAGACAAAATATTTTTTTGAAAATATTAGATCAACGACGGTAAAAAGATGAGTGGACAAATCTGTAGACATGAGGTGGAATGGAACCCAACAGAAACAAGAAACAGGGTACACGTGTGTGTTCTTGTACTAAGTCACATGTCGTCCTCACTAAATTGCTCTTTGTCGGTTCCACTCCCCAAAATTATTTAACTTGATAGCCACATTAAAATTACTAGATTTATGATGAAATTGTTGGATGATGAAAGTCCCACATTAGCTAATTTAGGGAATGATCATGGGTTTATAAGTGAGGAATACTAACTCCATTGGTATGAGACATTTTGGGGAATCCCAAAGTAAAGCCATGAGAGCTTATGCTCAAAGTGAACAATATCATATCATTGTGAAGAGTCATGTAACATGGAATCAGAGCTATGCCCTAAACTTAGCCGCCTCAATAGTATGAGGCCTTTTGGGGAAAGGGAGAGCTTATGCTCAAAGTGGACAATATATGCCCTAAACTTAGCCGCCTCAATAGTATGAAGCCTTTTGGGGAAAGGGAGAGCTTATGCTCAAAGTGGACAATATCATACAGAAATTGAAGCGTACTCTAGCCATTCTAATACCTTCCATTTTTAATTTTAAGTATTAAAGTAATACATTTTGTCATAAACTTATAACCTCCTAAAAATTAATTAGGTAATTAGACCTCCAATTCCTCTTTTTAAGTTCATTAAAAATTAGTAAAATTTTAATTTCTTCCATTTTATAATTAAAATATATAATTAGATAATCCAGCTAGTTTATTATATAGACAAATGCAGAGAATAGAAGCCCAATTATTAAACTTTGAGATAAACACATAAAATAAACCATTAAATTTTTATAGGACAAAACAATTATAAATAAATAAATATATATATGTGTGTGTGTATGTATGTATGTATGTATGTATATATGTATATGCATATAAACAAATAAATAGGTGGAAGTGGTGGGGCCCATGCCTGTGTTTTTTACTCTGATCTAGCCACGGATCGATTGCCAGGTGGTAAAGCACGTCCACGTCAGTGGGACCGAGCACGATGGAGATTCCAAGACGAGGCTTTAGGGTTTTCTTTTTTGTTTTTAATTATTATTATTATTATTATTTTACCATAGTGCAGTGACTGTCCCCACTTTGACGGTGACAGTTCTGTCGTTTTAACAAAACCCACCTTTTGCAAAACCTTAATCTGACAAGATCGTGCCCATCATACGCACACGTGGCTCTAATCCATCGAAGACCTCAGTTCCAGACTTTCATAGTCGGTAGATCTAAACCGGCTACCTGCGGTAATTACATTACACGCGTCGCTCCCTCATTGGGTACTATTTTGCCTATCTACAGTCAACGGATAAGGTAGCTCTGTCATTTCCCCGCCCTAGCCTTTTCCTGACCTTTTCTAACTCCCAATAAAACCCCGCCACGTACCCCATTGTTTATAAATTATTATTATTTATTTATTTTCTGAATTTTATAATATATCTAATATTTGACGATGGTATTGAAATGTATATGATATCGTTTAAGTTGGTATTATATTCACTAATTTGGGTATCTATTTCGAGAAGAACGAGTGGCTTAGATTCAATGTTTTACATGGGTGCAGTGGAGGATGATAAATTGTCCATCATTTTAATCTCGATCGAATTGTCAGAGAATATATTTGAAAAAAATGTATGGATTATATTTTAGAAGAAAGGTTTTTGATTTTGATGGGATAATTTGACTACACTCAAAAGTTTATGTGGGCATGTAAGTGGGAAATCAGCATCAAATGGACCATTATTATTATTATTATTATTATTATTATTATTTAATTTTATTATAAGGTTGAGAATTATTAATATGAAATATCCATTGATTTAATTATACCTTCATCCATTATGCTTATAAGTCATTTTCTTAATCAAAATTTTGTCTTCCATGGAAACACAGCTTCTTCCACTTCAAATAATGCCTCTCCATAAAACACCATACAGATTCTGCATTTTCCCATCACCATGTGCCTTGTCTCCTCTTCTTTTTTTTTCATTTTATTCTTTTCGTTTCTCTCTCTTCTTCGTCGTTGAATTTTGTGTAGATCATGGAGCTATGAAGTCGAGTTTATGTGTGAGATCTCACATCGGTTGGAGAGGGAAACAAAACATTATAAGAGTGTGGAAACCTCTTTACAGTAGACGCGTTTTAAAACAGTGAGACTGCAGGTTAAAGTAGACAATATTTACTTGTGGTATCAAAACCAGACACTAAGCAATGTGCATGGTATAAGAGTGGATTGTGAGATCCCACATTGGTTAGAGTGAGGAACGAATCATTCTTATATAAGTCTCTCTTTAGTAGACGCATTTTAAAACCATGAGGCTGACAATATCTGAAGTGAATTACATATTACATAAAGTTCATTTTTTTGCTATAAAAACAGTGAGTCAAACGTGTTTCGTGAAGGTAACAGTTCACGTATATGGGCGATTTGGTGGGTATCACTGCATCACTAGAGTTGGATGGAGTGCAATGTTCAAAAGGTATGTCTAATAGTAAAGCTTGGATCTTGAAGTTGACTAGCAACATCTTCAAGGAAAAGAAGAAGAAGAAGAAGAAGAAGAAGAGAACAAGAAACTTTATTAGTGACATGATGATTCTGCAAGCTACCCATTAATGGCATATGATAAAAGTCAACTCCCTTTTCCTTCATTACATTGCTTCATAAGACACCATTTCAGTAAAGTTTTAGCCTTTTCTTCTCATCATTTTGCCTCTTACCCATTTGCTTGCTCTGATTTGTAAGCAAAAAGCATAGAATTAAGGTCGAAGAAAGAGCAAGCCAAAGCCCTGAAATGGGGCACAAAATTACAGTCATCAAAACAACCTTAAACTTTTCAAAACTATCAAAATCAGGAGGAAACATAATTGACAACATATTATTTAATCACATTCAAAGAAAACAACATTCGACACTAAAAACAACCCTTAACCAAAACCCAAGAAGATTACAGGACGGATCGAAGAAGTTGTCGAACCTGGCTCGGCTAGGCTCGACACGTGGGTGTGGGCTACCATTGCTTGGATTTATTACTAGAAAAACAAGCACAACATAGAAAAAGACTCTCTAAGACCAGGACCAAAGGGCATTGTCATCGATGGGGAATACAAAATTACAAGAACTTGTGGGCGGGTCAGAGTAATCGACATCTTCGAGCTTTGGGAAGATGCAAGGAGGCAAAAGATTCTTTCCCAAGTTATCTTCTTCGTCTTGCGATAAGTCGGACTGATCGGGATCGAAAATGTAGGACGAATCTCCGGGGTCTAGGAGTGAAGAGTGAACCCCATCAGTGTAGTGTGGGCTATCTGAATCAAATATATCACTTTTGACTGAACTCATCTCCTCCTGCTTACAACCCAGCTTTGAAGATTTGGAGGCTTCATCAACCAAATTTTGTGGTGGTTCTTCACCAAATTTGTCATCTTCAGACACCACAGAGTTGCTCCTTTCTTTGTCTTTGAGTATCAGTTTGTCTGTCAGGACAAGAATCTGTAATATCCATGTATTGTTTGTTAGTAATAATGCAAACCCAACACAGCTTAATCAGCAATAATGGAATATCCATGAATGTCAACAACATTTTTACCTCAGCCTTCAATGAATCCTTCTCCTTCAGTAGGTTTTCATAGTCAACCTTAAGGTTTCCATAGCTGGATTGAAGAGCTTCATAGTCCTTCTCCAGCTGTTTAGTTTTCCACCGTGCTCGGCGATTTTGAAACCATATAGCAACCTGACGAGGCTGCAGCCCGAGGTCCTTTGCTAGCTGAACTTTCCTCTCCGGTTCGAGCTTGTTCTCGGTCTCGAAACTTTTCTCAAGGAACCGGACTTGATCAGCTGATAAACGCCTCTTTTTTTCAGGGTGATGGAAGTAATCATCCAAGTCTTCATCCCCATTATCTTCATTATCGAACGGGCAAAAGAACGATCTATTCGATCCGTTTCCTCCACGAATATCTTCGAAACTCATCATGGATCTTGAACCTATACCAGAACAATCTGTCATGAACATCAACTAGACAAGTTTTACTCCCCAAGTGATATATGTCAGATAATATCAATCAATCTCATACAATTCTTCTACACAAATTGAACTCTATAACTGCACCAGATTCAGCTAACAACCACAAAACAACTAAAAACAGAGAAACACCAAAAGGAAATTACATCGATTTTCTCAAAATCAGCGATTAATGGTCCAATTTAAACAGCCAAAAGCATTGAGAATTCAGCACATAAACCCAAAGGGTGACCAAAAGCATCAATTCCACAGAGAAACATCAAAGAAATCAAGCATACAGAGGCAAGAACTGAAAAGATCAAGAAAAAGGGTGTACCAAGCAGAGAGGGGGAAGTAGAAGAAGATGACCCAGAAAGGAAAAGAGCACTAAGAGGCTCAGAAGCAAAAGACCCTCCACGATTCTGAAGCAAAACACTATGATTGGAAGAAACACCGCTTATACTACCACCGTCGTCGCCGCCGCCGCCATATACCCTCCGACCCGCCATAGCCCTAAATACAAAGAAACTATTCCCTGTTTCAAACAGCCATCAATAAAACGGAGAAGATTAGCCAGTGGGTCTGTGTTGTTGGGGGGTAATCTAAGACTTATGGCGGAAGAAGCTGGTGATTATGATTTCGGTGATGTGTGAAGTATGGGAACAACGGCTGCTCACACCCATCCCTCAGAATAAGAAAGATTAATGGATGAGGCTGTTCTTCGATTCTTTGGATTTCTTTTCCAAATTGAAATCGAAGATCGAGAGGAAATGGTTTCTGGGTTTGAAGCCTCCGAGAAGAGAATCTCCTCCTTTCCTTCCCGTTTCCCTTCGGAGGGGGAAGAACTTGGTGGGCTTATAATGGCAGCACCAGAATGCTTCTCATATATCCGTAGTTACCACAATACCCTTCTCCTTAGTTTTGTGGGTTAATTATTAAAACATTCATCTCAGATCCACATGGATTGGGGAGTAAAACGAAACATCATTTATAATGCTGTGAAAACTTCTTCTTAGACTATGAGTTTTAAAAGTCTCGAGTGAAAGCTCTAAGGAAAAATCTGAATAGTACAATATATGCTGTTAAAAATGGTATTAAATTCAAACACTAGGCGATGTGCTAGTGAAGAGGCTCAACCCAAAAAGGGGATGGACAGTAAGGGCGTTGAGCTCTGAAGAGAGATAATTGATTTATAATGAATATATTTATATCATGTTTATTGAAAATTAAGCGACTAATATTATATTTATTAACGAAAAAAATGTAAATTAATGTTAAGGAGCTAACATGAAGTAGAGTGAATAATGGCATGAGAGGAGCAAAATGTTTCCCAATTATATGTTTCTGCCAACCAAACATTCAAGCCAAATTAATAAAAATAAATGGCAATAACATATACTCTAAAAACTATAGCCCTAAATAAATTGTACGTAAAAATTAAATTTATTTCAATAATCGGTTGAATTTAAATTATTTAAACAAATTAAAAATTTTAAATTATTATTATTATTAACAAAAAAAAAAAAAACAAAATATATTTAAAAGAGAATTAGTTTTTAAATGTATATTTATATCATCAAAAAGAGAGAAATTAATTTGTAATTTACTATACAATTAGCAATGGGTTTTCACAAACCCTTTAAAAAGTAATGAATATATATATATATATATATATATATATATATATATATATACACACACATATCTACTCCATTAAACTAAAATGCAAGTACAAGCATTTGATATGCATAAATATAAAATAATTGCATGTGACACGCCATGAATCAACTTTATATTTTATTATTTTTTTTTTTTTTCATTCAAAACTGGGTAGGTATGAATATTGTAACAGTTCAAGTTCAAGTTCACTGCTAGTAAATACTATTTTTGTAAGATATGTTTTGTTTCACTCTCCAACCGATGTAGGATCTCACGTAATAATTCAACGGATGAACGAGGACGGGATGGTAGAGGGGTAAAATGGGAAATGGGAGGGAATAAAGGTGAGAGGGAGGAGATGGAGATGACAACGAGGCAAAGGAGAGAAAGGTGGAGGCAGAAAACAAAGGAATCCTGTCCAATCAGTCGTTTTCCATGAGTCCGCGGACTGAGTCATGGGCCCGAGTTGGTCATCTTCATCTCAACTTAAGGCTGAGTCACTCGTTCATCGCTTGTCCACCATTTTACGTGGTCCCACCAATTGGGCCACGTCATGTGCTTCTGGCTCCACCTGTCCCTTCCTTCCACATTTTAAATTGGCATCATCTCTCCACATTGGCTGGTGGGCCCCCTCTCACCATCCGATTCATCAAAATCCATGTATGTATGTGCCTGTATATAAATCTTATCTATAAATTTTTATTAATTTATTATTTTTATAAAAAAAATTATCACGAATTTCAACTCTTAAACCATTAAATTTATATTTTAAATTTAAATTTTATTCAAATTTTTAGAATTTCAGACATAAATTACGATTTGAAATAATGAGCATGTAGAATACAAATTTAGATTAACATACTATTTTAGATTTAAATTGTTTGTAAAAATAAAAAATATATATATTATTACTTTAAAAGATTAAAAATATTTTTGAAATAAAGAATATAGTTTAGGAATTTATTGTATAAATTAGGGAGAAAATGTATCCCGTTTTCAGTCTCGCGAAACGTTGGTTTTGGACCATACGGCCCAATAAGGTCTCGTAATCTGACAGCCCATGTCTTTCGTAATCGGCCCATAAAATTGGGCCTGTTCTTTCATCAGCCCATTACAAAATATCTCCAAAATATGTACGAGTCCCTTCAATTTAATTTTTTAACGTGTTTTTTTTTTGTTATTTTTCTGTGTTTAAATTTAAAATATATATTTTTTCATAGAAATCCAAAATTGTGCACATATTTATTTTACCCATTCGGTTTTTAATTTTGAAATAATTTATTTCCTGAATTTAGTACATGGTAAAATTTATAATAATTTAATCTCTATTTATAAATACAAAAAAACATTAAAATTAGTCCCGAGATAATTTGGTCATGAAATAAATAATTGAAAGTACGGTCCAATCGATTGGGAAAGAATCAATGGATTCATTTCATACAAATATAATCTGGATTTCAAATGATCTAAACTCAACTTAATCTTTGGCTTAAGGTAATTAAGTAAATGTTGAAGGAGAGAGAGAGAGAGTTATGAAAATTTGAGATAAAGCAATGGAGGATATGATTGGTGGATATTAGTGGACATCAGATTACACAGTCTCAGATCTCTCTCCTACATGGCGAAACCTCCCTCTTCCATCACTTCCTGCCTGAAGAATAATCCTTCAGAAGCTTCCCTTCCCCTTCAACAATGGCGGTCACTGCACAATCACCATCTTCCTCTGCTGCTCCCTCTCTCCTTCCCAACCGCTTCTCCATTTCCAGATTCCGCCACGCCTCTAACCATGCCCGTCCTCGTCCTTCCTCCAGATCCAATCCACTCAGGATCCTCGCCATGGCCTCTCAGAAGAAGGTACTGCAACTCTTTCCTCTGTTATAATTCCCCTTGTCTTTTGATCGCGTTGTTTGGGGGCCAGGCTAGGGCGCTAATAAATGGAAATTGATGGATTCAGGTGAACAAATACGACGACGGTTGGGAGAAGAAGTGGTTCGGAGCCGGTATCTTCTACGAGAGCTCGGAGGATGTGGAAGTGGACGTGTTCAAGAAGCTTGAGACGAAGAAAGTGCTTAGCAACGTTGAAAAAGCAGGGCTACTATCGAAGGCAGAGGAATTAGGGTTTACGCTCTCTTCGATTGAGAAATTGGGGGTTTTCTCAAAAGCCGAGGAGTTCGGGCTTCTCAGCTTGCTTGAGAAGGTTGCGAGCGCCTCCCCGTCCACATTGGCCTCTCTTGCCCTTCCCATTCTCGTTGCAGCGCTGGCGGCGATTGTTCTCATTCCCGATGACTCAGCGCCGCTTGTGGCGTTACAGGCGGTGGTCGCCGGCGGACTCACGCTTGGGGCTGCCGGATTGTTTGTTGGATCGGTGGTGCTGGGTGGCTTGCAGGAAGCTGATTGAATAGGACTCTGCCGAATCTCCGTGTGTGTAGGTAAATTGAATACTACTTTTGAAACAGTTCTAATTTCTCTGTGTAATTAAGAACCAGAATCATGGTGCATCTGAAGAGAGCTTTTTCATTCTCTTGGTTTCAAAATGTGGATTAGAATTAGGTGATTTTGGTATCATAATTTCATTTCTTCAAGAAGTATTACAGTAAGAGACATAAAATTTTCAAAACTTGAGCCTTCTAATCTTTTGATCCTGTTAGCTGCATCATCAAGAGATAGTAGTAGAATCCTACTCATTCCAGATTTCATGGAGCAGCATTCTGTTCAGCTTCATGGATCAGTTTCAATATCTCTTCCTTCTTAACCGCCAGAGCCTGCATCTTGGCTTCAAGCTTCTCAAGCTTCTGTCTGAGCTTTAATGGATCCTTCATATCCGCAGGGTCCTTTTTCTTCTTCTCTTTCTTTTCACCTTCTTCCCTATCCTTATCTTTTCCCTTCTTTTTACCATGATCATCTTCTTCTCCTTCTTCTCAACCTTACCCTCGTGCTTCTCTTCCGAGGTTCCTCCCATTGTTTAATCTAAACCAGAAATAGTTACTCTTTCAGGACAGAATTGAAGGAAAACTGAATGAATATTGTTCTGCAATTATTGGGTGTGCGCCTAACCGCCATTAATATGGCAACCCAATGGGCAGAAATTGATGTGGGTTGCCGAGAATTCAGCCACAAGACATGGCAACTTCATTCTCTGGTGGCCCTGTGATTTGTTATGGACATTTTCCACTCTGCTAAGTACAAACAAAAATAATCAAAGAAGAAAGCTCTGTATTATTATTCTAATTTTGCTGCCAACAGTAGAGGAAGATCTGATATGTTTGAAAATAATACGTGATGTTCCAACTTTTCAGGACACAATTACAGCAAACTATGGGACTCTGTTTTCCCTCTCTCTCTCTCTTATTACTGTGTTGGTCAATCCAATTCCATCTCCAAGAACCAAACAACATGATGACAGCTCCCTTTTCACACTTTACCGTGTTATTTTTTGGGATATCTTTTTCAACTCCACCAGTTTTGAACTTTCCCTTCCCCACCGGCTATCAAGGAGCCTACTCAACTACTACCCCATCAATTTGGGGTTGTAATTATGGAAAACCCCACAAAAAGGGGTTAAAAATAATAATAATGATAATAATAATACACTTTTAATACTTTCATGTACTACTTTAGTCTACATTAACCGATCTGATAGGCTAGGAAGTCGCCGGAAAAAGTTCAGACTTGCTGACGGCATAGGATCCCGGAACATGGGGTGGCGCAAGTAGTAGAATCCGAGTGCCACCGCCACCATTTTCGGCGGAACCGCGTAGAGGATCAATGTGATGGTGAAACATACTCCAATGAACAGCTTTGTGGCTCGAGGGTCCCTCCAACTAACCAACGCTTGTACTCTCTCCCCTTGGGTAGCAAGATCCCCCAACACTGTTTGGATTCTTGCAGCCAGTATCCTTAGCCGGTCGTACCTGACTCGGATTACGTCCGGTGGCTTTGAGCTTGGAATTGTGTCGAATTCTTCATCTAGTTCATCTGGATCTACTGCCTCGGCGTGCGATAATCGTGTGTCCATTCCGGCGGGGATTTTCGGTCTGAACCGATAGTACCAAACTCCGATTAAGAACACGTAGAGAAACCCAGTTGGAACAATCAAATCTGGGTACCAAACAAGAACCAGATATAAAACATGAACAAGAATTGTGGTTATGGGGTTCCTCCATCGCCGGATGTCATCCAACCATTTGGCCAATCCCACCGCCCATGCCAAAACTGCAACGATCCTAAACCAATTTGCCTTGCTTTTTCTCATACTCCAAGCGTGTGAATCAGCATCCAACATGTATCGAACCACCTCCGACCCCAATGGTGGCTCCGACCTGCCTAACCAAGTTGCCACCATCTTTGTGGCGGCTCTGCGCAACGCCTCCTGTTGAGCCACCCCCAGAGGGCGGAGATAATGCATTCTTGGAAGTAAGGGCTGCCCATAAACTCCACATGTATCTGGCAACAGTGCCGGACAGGCGAACCGGACGGCTAGCTCGATTTCACCCATTTTCTTCAACCCTGTTCTCTGCAAAACCAACAGAGGGTACGAGTTTGTATAGATTTTGTTGCTCTCGAGGGTTGACACCCGAATCCTTACTTTTCCGATGTGATAATCCGGCTTGTCCTCCGCCGCGTCGGAGTACATTCGCCAGTTATCGAAGACGCCGATGGTGAGAACAGTGCAAGGATCATATACTTGCCACGTGTACTGTTCATTCCAACGTGGATCAAAGCTGTCAGTCATCGTTCTGGTTCGGACCCACTTTTTCCCGTACTTGGCGACACAGTAAGCGTCAGTGGACCCCTTCCCCGGATCTTTCGTCTTCATCGGAAGCAACCCTCGAGCTCCCAGAATCCCGAGCTCCAGAATTCCAACGGCTGGCTTCCAAAGCTGCTTCGCTGTCGGACGGAAGTCACTACACACGTGCGCCGCCTCATCCAACACGTGATATCCGCCTTCCAAACAAAGGCGGAGATAGATTCTGCCGCTGTATGATTCGCCACCGTTGCCGCCTTCTAAAGAAAACCATTTCGCCGCCACATACCGCTCATCGAACCGCTGTTCGACAGTGTCCACCGGAATCATGACGTGGCCGAGGAGTACGACCTCCTTGCTCGTTCGGTCTTCAACGAGTATGATCAGGGAGTCTTCGAGAAGCTCGCCGGCAACGAAGACGAGGTCCTCGTTCCAGTGAAATGAGGCGCTATGGTTGTTCATGGACCCTCGCCTGGTCCGAGCCGACTGAAAACTCAGCTGTGCTTTGATCCGAATCTCGGGTGCCGTTAATGGAGGCAGATTTGAAGCGATGTGAAGGTCCTGCGCTTCTATTACTGTAATTCTCAAGTACCATAGCTTCGGAGATTGATAAACCTTTGAGCGCGTATGCGCCACGTGTGGCGCATCGGAGCACCAAGCTTCTGGAAATGCGTCGTCGGCTTGAGTTCCAATCCAAACAGAGAGCTGAATGTCGCCGGTAATTTTGGTGGTTTGTTGATCTCCGGCACCGACATCAAGGCGGTACCACTGAGGAGCCAGAGGACTATCAGGCGGATCACGTACAGGAACATCGGAAAGATCAAAGCAAACGCCACCGAGGAACTGATCCGATGGAGAATCCCTGACGGCAATCTCCAGCGTCGTATTTGCCGTATCAGGCCGGTTATGGCGGAGGGCAAAGACGCATTTCCATTCCGGCGAATCAGTCGGTTCACCAGGCCGATGATTCGCCGGTTCCGATTTGACGTAATGGCTTGATGTGCGAATCTGTAAGTAGGGGCGCTCATTAGGAGCGATATTTCTGGCTTTCACAATACGGATGAAGAGGTACTGCATTGGCTCCACAAGATCGTACGGATGAATCCTCTCCGTCTCCGCCATGAATTTTTTATTGATTACTCTCGGAGAGTAATCCCCATTCGGCCTTCTCAAAACCCTAACCCCTTCCCCAAATCCTGCTACCTTGTTATTCTGCATCTTTCTAATTTCTGGTGCAAATTGGCCCTCCGCAGGCGGAGGAGCATTTACCTCCATCGGTGGTGGCTCAGAATGTACCGGCATCTCCTGCGGAGGCGGCTCATCGATAACTACCACCGGCGGCGGGTTCGAATCGTTGTGACCGACCTCCCCCTGCGGCGGAAGCTCGAACATCCTTGCTTCCTCGACAACAGCCTCCGGAGTATTAGGCTTCTCGGCAACAGTCTGAATCGGTTGCTCCTCCTGCGGCGGAGGTTGCGGCGGAGCTTCTTCAACTAACTCGTCGTAGTAACAGATTCTAAGCCCAATTTCGCCTCTCACCCAGCTGAACACGCTCTTCTTCTCCAATTGATAGTAAACCAAACCTTCTTCTCCTCTCTTCGCAAACTGGCTTCCGTTCAGTTTCACCCTCCCTAAGAATTGATTCTTCCGGCCACTTCCATTGCCGTACCTCTTATCGTTGAAAACCTCAATATCAAGCTCCTCATAGTCCATATTATCAGGATCGGAGACAATAAATTCAATCGGCTCATTCCATGTGGGATTGAGCTCACGAAACTTAGTAGCGGTCCGCTTCCTCTGGCCATCAAAATCGGCAACCACATAAGGACTGGAGCTTCCTTGGCCGTCTTTAGGAAGAAGGTTACGAGCATCAGCGATTTCGACTACGAGCTTTCTAACTGTTTTGGGTGGCGGTGGCGGTTGGGGCGATGACGGTGGCGGTGGCTGAGCCGGCGTCGTCATGGTCTCATTTTGGTATGAAGCAAAAATAGATCAGAAAATGCGGTGATAGCGGAGAAGCAGAATAAATGCTGTAATGTATTGAATATTGATGCCATTTGCTTTCCCCTTTTTCCTTTATTCTATTTTTCTAAACCCTTTTTTTCCCTATTACAATTTTATTTTATTTTTATAAACTTTAACATTAAATTACAAATTTCTATCTTTTATCATTTTTTTAAAAATAATTTCTAATTTAATGTCGAGATATGATATCCTCTCAACCGTACCATTTGTTTCACTAATTTCTTAATTTAATGTCGACATATGATATCTTCTCAACCATACCATTTGTTTTCTGATGAGTTGAACTATGCTTAAATTGTATTATAATAATAATAATAAAAAGAATAAGAATGTTAGAAGGTGGGGGTGTTAGTGGGGAAGAGATTAGATTCCAATCTCTCTTGTGAAGGTTTTGAATGAATCCACTTTATGGTTTCCCTCTTCTTTATCCCTTTTTTTCTCCCTATATATTCCAAAACAAATAAATTAAGGAATAACATAGTTGTATGTTTAAATCCTTTATGACCTATCCATTTGGGCCTCTTTATTTTTGTCATTCGTATCAAAATTAGTTGCATTATGGCCTTGGTAGACGGGCAATGTTAGAAGCCACGAGCCGAAAAATAATTGGGTCATGTTATCGAATCGAACAAAGTGTAAACTTGAAAGTAACCCAAAAAGTAGGGTTTCTCCACTTGAAAGAATCTCCTCAAACGTATAAGTTTGATACGTTTAATTTTTCTCTCTAATACATCTAATAATGTAAAACGGTGGTGAAGAACTAGTATGCAACCATTTAGATGCCTTGTTAGATTCCCCTCCCTTTAGCCCAAAAGGCTTAACACTCCCAAAAGTTAATTCCAAAGAGAAAAACAAGCCCAACCCTTTACCCAAATCACTTCCATTTCTCACTAATGGCTACCCTGTTGTGCCCTAGCTGCTTCCTTCCATACAGATCTTCAATGGAGATGCCAATATTCAGCCGAAACTTTAGTGTTTGCAGTGGACGAAGAAGAGGGTCTCCACTATTGTACCAATTTCTCAGTGCGATCCTTGGGCGACTGTGAACTAATGGACTTTTTTCCCCCTTTGGCTCCGCATGTCGATGAAGCTTCTCAACCCCATGTCATATTCTGCACTTTCTGAATGGGTGGACTTTGTTGCCAGAATCTGATCCTTCCCGTCTCATCAAAAAGTAAATTTATTTTCTCATTGATGCTTCTTCTGCTGTCCTTCGCCATAATTTTCTCTTCATGACATCATTTCAATGCATTAATATTATATTAATATAGGTGTGGAAAAAGGATGGGTTTCTCTGCAATTTTCTCCACTCTCCCCCAAACAGTTCCTTAACTTTAGGGCCCTAATCCATATCTCTTGTTTTCTTGTTTATTCCACTGAAAAAGAAATCTGGATTCCATGAGGTTTTGGCAATCTCTTAATGGGTTCTGCATCACTCTGAGGAGAGATTTCTGCTGTTGATTATGTTTAGTGTTTATGTTCTTCAAGATTTTCACTTGTTTCACGCATAGAATTTTGTGTGGGATTGTGTTTTATTAGATTATGAATTGAAACCCCATTAAGAGTTCTTCATTTGTGATTACATTTTGTTTGGATGATGCTGTGTTCCATTCCCATGTTCTGGGTTGGTTCATACTTTAGTACCCTTTATCACAATTCATATTAATTTTCCTTTTAGGATAGAAACATTCCTCCTTTTGAAGGAAAAGGTAGATTTATGCCATTATCTGAAAGATAATGCTGCAAATTAACATGGATTTTGTTTCCCAAGTGTTTGAAACAAGCTGAGAAGGCTATCTCTGCTTTATTTTATTCCTTTGCTTTTCTATAAACAAAATTCTGTTCTTTCTTGGCTCCAAAAAGAACAATGTGGAGGACAATCAATTTTCTTGTGATATTTGCTTTTGTTATGATATTTCCAACCCTGAAGGCCACTATTGCAGATTTTGATGAGGTATGGCTGAAAAGAGCTGAAGAAGTTAAGAACTTTGCCCTATGAGGTCTTCAAGGGTGTACGGTGATACATACCGGACCGACAAATGGTATCAAAGCGAGCCAAGACGCTAGACTCCTAAGGGAGGATGGATTCTGAGATCCCACATTGGTTGAAGAGAGGAAGGAAACATTCCTTACAAGAGTGCTCCCTAGTAGATGCATTTTAAAACCACTAGGCTAATCACGATACATAAAGAACTAACACTGAGCTTGAACTATTACACAAGTCTATTTCCTTGTTAGTACAATAATAAGTCAATTTTCTGCTAATATCAACATGGATGAGCATATTAAAGAAGACAACCTGCTTATATTGTATAATCATGGCCTTTTTCTTGTGGAACAGATCCTTAGATGGTGCAAATACCACCAGGAGAAATTTGAAGTACAATGGTCGATGTTCAGCTAAATTTAACACCATAATCATGAACCTTTTATTTGTCTGCAACTAGAAAATGGTCATAGATTATGGTTGTTAGGCTAGCCTAAGCGATCAGGTAAAGAACATCTGACTCTGATAACATTTTAAGAAGATGGTGGAGTTGTCCAATTCAAGGGCAAGGGGCCAATATCATATATGATCTCTCTATGGCAAGACCATACGAGTTTGATGGCTTCTGGAGTTCCAATACCAGCACCCCTAGGGTCACCTGCTGGTCCAAACCTATACCAAACAATATTCTTAGCCACCATACTCGACTTCATGTTGAGAAGGAGAAACGAGCTTATTAGACTTTACCAATGGTTCTGCGGAGCTCCTGTTGTTCTAGCTCGTAAACCCGCATACGTCGTCCCGTTTACAGTATTCCCAATAACTTCCTGCAATGTCCAAAGTTACTATAATCTATCAAGCAATGTTGGTTTGGGAAGCACTTTCTTAATAGGAATGTTAAAGAAGAGAATCATCAAACTCACCTGTAGAAAAAGAGGGTCATTTGAAACAACCGCTGCTGTTAGATGAGCATGCATCCGCTCAAGAGAATCCAACACAACTGACAGTTGATCGCTCTTATATTCAGTAATAATCTACAAACACCAGCAACAAACTGATATTAAGAAGTGCTTAATCATTCTAAGAGACAAGAACACAAACAAAGTCAGCCTCAAAAATTTCCCTTTTTTCTTCATATTTACCTGAAATGGTCCAAAAATTTCCTTAGTAACAAGCTCATAATTCTCATCTTTCATCATTTCTTCGAGTGGAAGATACACTGCAGTGGGTTTCATAGCACCATAAATGGCTGGAATGGAATGGTTTTTGAGAGGTTCACCTCCAAACAGTAACTTTGCTCCTGGTATCGTGAGCAATTTGTTCATGTGATCTAGCATCATTTCATTTGTTAACTGCAACACCCAAGATTTATATTTTAGTATTGTGGGGGATCATGAATGATCACAGTATGTACGCATTGAAACAATGAGAGTAGTAGCCATACCGTTAGAACAGGGCCAATCGTTAAATCAGTCAAATTTCTTCTCTCTGCCAGATCCTTTATCTTCGAAATGAGTGAAGTTTTCGACCAGTTCTATGCAATGGCGACAAAATGATATCATCAGAAAAGACAAGAACAAGAGTTATCAATCCCAAGAAGATAACACTGACAATAAAAGATCAAACCTCATGCATGAACATTATGGACTGTGCCGAGCACTTCTGGCCGCTGCAAGCATATGCATCTTGATCACAAACCCATGCAACATAGTCTTCCTGCAATTCAGTAACCATAAGAACTAAGAAACAAAGCTCACATCTTCAACGATATGGCACGCAACAGAGCTAATAACCTCTCGAACATCTGGTCCTAAGACTTTCCAATCAAAACCTGCATCTTCCAGTTTAATGCGACCCTTCAAGTCAACAGCCAACTTTTCTGCCACTCTTGAGCTACCAGTGAAAAGAGTCATGGATGGATTTCCCTCGATCAATAACTTGTTCATCGTCTTTCCATCACAATTTATGAAATCTAAATCTTCAAGAGGAAGACCACAATGGTGTAGCAATCGAATCATTTGCTCCATAACTATGATAACCTACAAAACATTTAAGATATCAACTATGAGCATTCATTCCTCACTTGCTCCATAACTATGTTACTGTATTCTTACCTTGCTATCAACTTTTAGAACAGGTTTGTTGCCCATGTAGAGTGCACCCATCACCTGAAGTAAAGGAATTTCCAAGGGGAAGTTGAAAGGAGTGATAATTGCTACCTGCAAATGATTACAAACTATTAAGCTGGATTCAAAACAGGTTTTCTTTTAGGAGATATCTAAACTGAATATGTCTTACAGGACCATAAGGCCAACGGTAACCATGACTTTGTTGTCCAAGATGATCTCCAGGTACTGCAAAGGACCTTGCTAGGAAGCGAACCTGTATATAAATGAATCGATAACAACTATAAACAAACTCTTCACAAGAATGACTCGTTACGAAACGTTCTATGTGACAAAACTCCATTTGAAAGTGGCATAGAGTCACTCGGTCCATAGAGTCTTAGAAGAGTCTTATATTTTTAGAAGGATTTCTTCTATAAATCTCAGGATTCAAACACCTGACCTCTAAATAGGTCTAAGCAAACATGGTCATCCCATTAGGGGCCAACCTTAAAAGAGTTGTTGAAGCACCTAAGAAGCAGTATTACAGAAAAGAAAAACAAAGAAAACTCATTGGCCAATGATTAGACCTTACCTGATCACCAGAGAAGTTCCTTAAAAATTTAACAGTAACATTGACTTCAGCCCAAGCTTGCTGATAACTTTTTGGAGAAACTCTTTGAATTAACCTTGCAAAGAAGTCAGTCACCTGCAAATCATGTTTTGTTTAAGCTACTGTAAATAAGAAAACAGTGACAAAGGAAGAGAGAAACAATCACCTCTGGTGTCGAAAGCATGTCAGCGGCCTTGGACGATACATCTCCATACAAAAGATATCTGCAAATTCGAAGGAACAATGAAAAACAAACGAAAGCAAATGATCTACAAAATGATCTATCAGAACCTCACCTCTCGGGTGATTTCAAAGGATTATGTAAGCCATGCTTGGGGCATTTGGTCAGGCTCTTCACAAATGGCTGCAATAGCAATCCATCAAGTTAAAACTAAGCAGATCTTTTAAGAAATGAGTGTTCGTTAGTGGGCAGGACATGAAGGATGAGTTGTTTTAAGCATAAGAACCAACCAAGATGTGCATCAAGTTAGCTGACTGAACCAACCAAAATGTACCTGAATTTCTGTTTCATCAACTTCAGCAACTTTAATAAATGGTTCTCCATTTAAAGGATCTACAATGGTGTTCCAACCGGAAGATCCAATCCATTTACCCTGCACTAAAATATAAGCACATGTTGTGTCAACATTCCTGTTCTTCAGTAATGAAGAAGTTTAAGAAGAACTGAGGATCAAAGATCTTTACTCACCCAAGTTATGAACTTCTCCTGGCTTAGAACCTGATATTTGCTCCACTTCCACCGAAGAGAAAGGGATAGAATGAACATTTCTGCTTTCAGAAGAAGAAAAGAGTTGCATTACAACATCAAAAGAACATAGGATCCCAAAAAAGATGAAATGATCATAAGAACAGAATAGGGGATTCAGGAAACACTTCCGGATAACACCCTTTTACATTTTCCTTTTTGACAGATTTGATTCGGATTGGGATCAAAACGATTCATCAGTTCAAGGATGAACATAAGAAAGGTGCAACCAAATTGAATGGAACTCACAGTAATTTCAATATCTAAATCAAATTCTGGAGCTAAAGTTTCCCAATCCAATACAGTCCAAACAACCCCTTTATTAATTTTCAACAAAAAAATGCATATGGGAATCTATAACAACCAGATCCCACCACCATCAGCAGTCGAGTTTTCGAGAAAACAGATGTGGGTTTTACAAATTGCACATTTCTGCATCGAAAACTAGAGATGAATCTTACCTGCAAAAGCTAAAGCCGGTGGAGGTGCGAAGAAATGGTGCCTGAACAATCCGCCGGAACAGTAACCGAGATAGAACCGGCGCCATAACCCACGTGGGAGACAGGTAGATACGACGCAAAAACGGAATTAGGAACGGACGGGACGAAGCCCACAAGAAAGAAGGTTGTTTACGTTAAGTCACTGTGAGAGAGAGAGAGAGAGAGAGAGAGAGAGAGATGGAAGGCAACCCACTCGATGATTCACTAATTTAAGAGCTTAGCTACAATTCCTTTTCAGCTCTTCAATGGGAATTAAACAACAAATTTCTGATTTCTTTTTATTTTTATTTTTCTAATTTTGTTCTAAAAGGGATTTGATTAAGAACATTGATCCAATCCCTATTCTTCTCTTCCTACAAATTCGTGTCTGACTGTTTGAAATTATCTTAAATCCTATTTTTAGACATGCAAGCAAATCACATACTCATCCGATTTAACACGTGGATTTTTTTTTATTATTTATTATAAATTTAACTAAATTACAAGTTTCCTTAAAAAGCATAGCTTAATGATCTATTATATATATATATATATATATTTATTTTTTTTTTTAAAAAAAAAATTAATAATTACAAGTAACATATAAAGGAAATGATTATTTATAGAGGTTATACATGGTAAATTGATATATGTCGGATAATTATATATATAGTAGATCGTTATATCAGATAAAGTTATATATAATAAATTGAATATATATATATATATATATATATACATCTTCGGCAGTGATTTAAATACATATTTTCTATTTTATGGATACTAAAAATTATCAATATAAACCTTTAGTCAATATTTTTACTTGTATTTTATCGAGCGTGTGCCATCGTACCTTTATGACATATTCAAAATTGTCATTTTTAATTTAGTATTTAAGAAAAAAATAATAATAAACAAAAAATAACCCAAGAGATACGAAAAGAATTTGATTCCCCATCACCTCTCCTTTGAACATATTAAATAATAAATACTAAAAGAATATTAAATTGTTAAAGTCTTTTTTATTGGACCTCCACGATTTTGGGCCAATAGTGAATGGGCTAGATGTTAGATGACATTTTAATGGGCTGGGCCGTGATGAAATAGTTTCAAAGAAAAATAAAAATAAAAATAATCTAAGAGAGAATGAAATGCCAATAAAAAACCATATAATTTATTTATCTACATGTCAAAATAAAAGGATAAAACGGACATGTTTTCTATTTATTTATTACCAAAAATTAATATTTAATTACTATAAATGGTTAATAACAAAAATATTATATATTTAAAAAAATTTAAAAACACATTTTTTTTTTTATTTTCTTTTCACGATGCTTAAAAAATAAGATTATAAAATTTAACAACTTGGCTGCGTTTATGACTTTTCTTTTTTCTTTTTTCTTTTTAAAATATATATATATATATTTTTTATCTATAAAGCTCTTTCTTAACCTCATCCTAAATTCTAAAAATGTTTTATGGTAATAATTTTAAGAGCTTTAGTTAAAAATGCGATTAATAATATAAATTATCAAAAAAGTCGACAAACTTGAACTATTCCTCGAGTTGATCGAAACAAACCCGTTTTAATGATTTGTATTTACTTTCTCGTTTACGAAATGTGCGTGACACACGCCTGTTTAATTATTATTTTCACGCAATTAAAAAAAAAAAAAACAAATTGCTAATTATCTAAATAGATTCCAAGACCCATTCTCAAGGGGTAGGGTTCCAGCAGTACTTATAAGAAAATTAATTTTATTGGAGTTTTATTTTAATTTTCTTTTCCAACTATTTCGGTATTAAAATACAAGTGTTTGTGTTTTGTCAATGATTCAAGTGGCTTAAACCCCCTCCAAGGGGTCAGGTCAGCATTGTGACAAACAACGACCAATGGGCGTCTAATAAATACCAAGTTGATGAAGTTTGAATTTTTTTTCTTAAATTGTTATTATTTTATTTGCATTGCCATACCCGTCTCATTTGTCATTAATTTATTAATCTCTTATTTCTTAGTTGAACTATACTCATTTTTTACTCGTAATTTTAGTTTAAAATAATCAGGTTGGATAATAGAATAAAACATTTTATTACACACGTTTTAAAATCGTGAGACTGACGACAATACATAAAGGGTTAAAGTGGACAATATTTATTAGCAGTAGACTTAAGGTATTATAAAGGTATAAGAATTAAATATATATTTTAAAAATTTATTAACCCATTTATGTTGCGTATAAATAGACAAAAGTAGATTAATTAATAAAAGAATAAATAGACAAAAGCAGCCCAAAAGATATTTACTAATTTAATTATCACTGCCATATGTTATAAAATAAAATTAAATAAATTAAAACCAAGTCATCCATTTCCATTATTTAAAATAAATCAAAGAAAATCTAATGTAATGACAACTAGCTATTAATTAATTATTAATTTAAACAGCGATTAAGAAAATCTTTGATGAAGAACCGTATTTAATTAAGATTATGAAAGTGTACGATTTCAACTTTAATTTTTCATAATTATGTAAATGCAACGACTTTGAAACATAGTTGATTGATTCATTAATATTAAAATAATTTATATGATATAATATAAAGTTCGTAGTTTGCATGACTGATTGGCAATAAAATAATGAAGGATATTGACCAGTTATTATTTTAATGAATTTATATAGATCATTTTTTTAATTAAACTAAGCAATTTGGTAAACTAAGAGATTAAATATATGATGTTTGCATTAACATCATTCATATTAAACTATATACTATTACATTGACATGAGTAGGATGCCGTGTGAAATCTCACTTCTATCCCTCTATCTCATCCATCTTTAAAAAAAATTAAATTAACGACCTTATGGTAAACATACAATTTATAAAAATATAACGGACTTCCATAAATTTCGGCTATTTATTTATTTATATGCTTTTCATTTGGGTTTTTTTTTTTTTTTTTTTTTTTTTAAAAGTTGACAACTCGAACCATT